TGTCCTTCCATACGGTGAGTAGTGCAGATATGCTCTGTTTTGTTTCCCATGCCTTCGCCTTCAGACGAGGAAAGCTCTTTTTTACTTTCAAGTCTGAAGGGTTCAAGACCATCCCAATCGTAAGGTTGTGGAGGCCAGCGTCCATTTTGTTTTTTGTCCAGAAGGACTTCAGCTCCCTGAGCAAAATGGCCAAGCGATCTTCAAATTTGGGAACATGAGTAATGATCTCCGTGATGATCACATAGCACACAGATCCCAAAAATCGTTGATCCACACCCAAATGTTTGCTGTGCATCAGATCTGGGCACACCGATGAAGGTGACATGACTGATCTGTAAAGGGGACATGGGGCTTGACGCGGAGTATGCCACAAGTCAACTGGAGCTTCTTGCACAGGGCACTGCTTGAAGTTGCGCACCATTGCCTGTTGCACTTCGCACAGCCCACAAGGGTTGGCTGAATTCCATCGTGGTAATTGTTGCCATGCGTTGAAATATTCCAGGTCACCAGTGCTAAAGATGGGAACGCCAAAATACCCACCTGTACTAGCACCTTTTTCTTCCATCATGGCGGTGAAAGAGTCCGAAATCGCTCGCCAAACAGATCGTGAAGTCACCAGGCCAACCTTTGAACACATGTGGCACCAAATCGCAGCTACCAAAATGTGCTTCTCTTTGGCAGCAGTGCTTTTACCCAGCATTGACCAAAAACTGATGAACAAGCAGGACTTGCTGCCTGAGCCAATGCATTGCGTCACCGCAGCACCGTCCCCGTGCAAACACAGAGGGATCGCACGGTCTTTATATCCAGGTATGTGTTTGACAGGGTGGTGCAGCAAGCTTGGGTGTTGTGCCACTGGTGAATCCCAAAAGACAGGGACGTCTTTGGGATTGCCAAGAATCATAGACTCCCACGCATTTGTGCCCCATAGCCGCCGCCATGTTGTTTCTGGCAGCAGGAAAGGTATGGCCACATTGTTTCGGACAAGAGCCTCTTGGCCTTTGAGTGCGACTCTGATGGGCATTCTTAAGTCATGCAGCTGGAACATTGGAGATGGCAGCTTGCGTTCCAGGTCTCTTCGAACATTGTTGATATGTTTCCCTCGTGTGCCCAATTGAGCGAGAACCTGCCATTCGTTTAGCTTGCCGTATCCAGCTGCCTCAATGTCCCTGCTCGCAGCGTCTGCAATTTGTTGAACAAGAGGGGTGCTGATTTTTCCCCAAATCCAAGCCTTCAGCAAGACTTCAGCTAGTTTGCTCTTGGTGTTGTCCGGTGCAAAGAACTTTTGCTCAAACTCTTTGGCCCTCTTCGCCACACCAGACCTACTGGAAATGCCTTTGGTAAGGGTCGCCATGGTTGGATATGTTGTCAAAAGTGTTCCTCAAACATGCTCCATTGGTTCAGTTTGCGCCAAGAGTTAATTCCTCAGAGCCACGTTCCTGAGAGGAGAGTTTTGGGAGTGTTTTCTGAAGTGTTTTTTGAGCGTTGTTTGATGGGTGCTTGTTCTTGAGGTTTTGGAAAGATAATGTTTATAAAACGCTTTTCCTGGATTGTTTGTCAAGTGTGTGTTGGGGGTGTACTGTTTGGAAAGATAATGTCCGGGATAGTTTTGAGAGTGTTTGCTGAACTGTCTATCCAGTGCTTTGTTGGGGGCCTTAATTTCCATCAATTTGTGTACACACAATATGTGATAATGTAAAACTACAATAGTATTCATATATGTGTGTGGTTGGTTTCGTGTAGGTTTGTGAGGAAAACTAGATTATGTGTGCGTTTGTTGCACGCAGCCTGCCTTGAGCATGGTGCCTGCTGCACACATGTCAACAATCAGGAACTCTCAAAAGGAAACCTCTCTCAGAAAAATGCTCTCAGAAATTCAGAAGGATGAACTCTCAAAGAACAGCAAGTACTCCAGTAAAACAACAAACACATGATTTTTCAGGAGCAGTAAGCTCTCAAGAGAAAACGTTCAAAAACAAACAAAGAATGAACATTTCAAAAACCGTAAGGTCGACAGTTCCAAACACAGCAACTTCAGCGCATTTTTTCCTCCAGAAGATGTCAAGGAATCAGTCGTCGTCATCTCCAAGGCCTTCAGGTCGACAAAGTTTGGTTCACAAAAACGACAATTCATTGTCAGACAGTCCAAGTTTTGTCAAAGTTTGATCCAAACTTGGACTCCGCAATCCAAGTTTCATCAAAACTTGGATCGAAGTTTGATCCAAACTTGGAGTCATCAATCAAAGTTTGGATCCAAATTTTGACTCTGAAGTCAGAGTTTTATCAAAACTTTGATTGTAAACTCCAAGTTTTATCCAAACTTTGATTGTTATATCAAAGTTTGATCAAACTTTGATTTATCACTCAAAGTTTTTTGAAACTTTGACTCCAGAGTCAAAGTTTGGATCCAAACTTTGATTGATGAGTCCAAGTTTGGATCCAAACTTTGATTGATTACTCCAAGTTTGGATCAAACTTTGATCCAAGTTTTGATGAAACTTGGAGTGTGGAGTCCAAGTTTGGATCAAACTTTGACAAAACTTGGAGTCAACTTTGAATACTGCTTTAAAAAACGACAAAACACACACAATCATTTGAGCCTCAGGAGTCATGTGTACTTCTCCTCCAAGTCCTCGAGGACCTCAACTGCACTCTTCATGCAAATGGCTGCCGCATCCAAACTGCTCCGGCAAGACCGCAGTGCTCTCCTGACATGAAGGTTTTGGTAAAGCTTTAAAGCCTACAGAGACTGCGACCCTCAGGAATGAACAACATCCAAAGAGTGATCCTCAAGAAATCAAAAGCAAAAGAACCAGTCAGAATTCTCAGAACGAACAACTCTCAGGAAAACTCTCAGACACACTCAGAAAGAATCCCTCAGAA